TGTCCCCGAATCTCTTCTGGGTGGCTTCCAAGTGCACGGCTTCCAGGGAACATGAGCTTCACAGTGTCATTTTTTGGGAAACTCTGGATAAAATTTTCAAAGGCATCCAAGTGATAGAGGAACCTGAAATGCAAGAGCCTGAGGCTCCTAAGTGTTGAAATTGCCTTTCAAAGGTGCATTGGGGTTCTCAGTTGCTTAGGTGCTTTCAAAATGTTTGCCCTAGACGAGTGGGTCTTAAATTGTGGGTTGGGGCCAATGTTCCCTCTAGCTTTTTCCATCCACGTGCAGAATAAATTTTGTTATATGCACCAAGGTATGTGTGAATGTGCACCACCAGTAGAAACACAGGCTGCCAGCTGTGCACAGTCTGCAAATCCAGTGGGTGGCACTTGAATCTCTCCTGGGTGACTTACAAGTGCACATCTTACAGGGAACACTGGTTGGGACCCCACAATGGGTTGCAACCCCATTTTAATGGAGTGGCCAGGGCCGAAGTCAAAGCCTAAAGGCTTCAGCCTTTGGCAGCAGGACCCAGGTTACAGCTTGGGGAGGGCTTCAGTTTTGGCACCATTTCCTGGAGCAGTAGGACTCATGCTTTGCCCCCCATCGGGGCCTGTGGGGCTCAAGCTTTGGTCCCCTATTCAGGGTCATGTATTAATTTTTATGGTCAAAAGGGGGTCACAGCACGGCAGAGTTTGAGAACCCCTGCCCTAGACTCTTGTGTTTGATGGCAGGAGAACTGTCAGTCTGCCTTGATGTTAGGAACGTTCTCTAAATCTCTCTCCCTCCCTCCATTTAGCCGAGCTGTTCAGCGGAGCTTAGCCATCATTCGTCAGGCCAAGCAGAAGAAAGAGAAGGAGTACTGCATGTACTACAACCGCTTCGGCAAATGTAACCGGGGGGAGAGCTGTCCCTACATCCATGATCCAGAAAAAGTAGCTGTCTGCACCAGGTGGGCACAGGAACACATGTAACTCTTCTTGGTGCAAGCGCATGCTTGTACTTCATCACATGGTTGGGCACAGAATTCTGGGCTTGCCTCTCGCGTCGTAGTGAAGCAGGCCAAAGAGCAGCAATACTTTGAACTAACAGCGTTTCACGTCTACAAAGTGTGTGTCATACCAGCAAAATGTTTGAACCAGGGTGTGTCAGGATGAAATGATTTAAACCAAGGCTATTGAAATCACTATTTCAATCACCAAAAAATCCATTGATTTAAATCAGCTTTCCCATTGATACTACTTCACATATTTCTTCAAACGGTGGAAATCTGATCTCTAAACCATGTTAATTGACAGTTCTGTGCAGCATTTCACATCATCTAAGGGTATGTCTGCGCTACAAGACAAAGTCGAATTAAGATATGCAACTTCAGCTACGTTCATTGCGGAGCTGAAGTCAAAGTAGCTTAACTCAACTTGTGGCACTGTCCGCACTGCAGGAAGTCAAAGGAAGAACAGTCTCCCTTTGACTTCCCTTATGCCTTGTGGAAGCAGGACTACTGGCGTTGACCGGAGCGTCTCTCTCAGTTCAAATTAGCTGTCTTAACTAGACCCACTAATTCGAACCCTGGAAGATCGACAGCAACAGCTTTGATCTTCCTCTATTGTGTAGACGTAACCTAAGAGGGTATGTTCAGTGGCAGCTGGCAGCTCTAGATTTCTCTTAATGCAGCGTTCTGTGCTGTATCCTTGCGTGATAGATTCTAGACCTAGTTAACTAATGAAACAAGCCGTAAAGATTAGCTAAGCTACTTTTTTTTTTAGCAACATCCAACGTAGCAAACAGCTTGGAAATTTCCTTGTTAAATCACACTTATACTAAAAGGCACAGAGAGAGTCTTGAAGAATGATGCATTGCAAAGTTGATCCGCATTGTTCTTCAGCCAGATCCACGTCATTTTCTCCCAATTAGCAGTGTTCTTTATGATTCATTCTCACAGCTAGGCCCTGCATCATCATCTTGCTCGCTGACACTTGACACGTTTCACTTTTTTACCCAGCAAACAAATTCCTTGAAACCAGCCATAGATAGGGTCTCCCTTACACCCACAAGTCATGGCAGCTTTTCTGTGGCAAAAGTCTAGGGCAGGGGTTGGCAACCTTTTCAAACCAAAGAGCCAAACGACCTCAAACTTCAGACCAAGTGATCAACAGAGCCGCATAAGAATGCCCATTTGCATGACTGAAAATATGCCACTGAATATTATTGATGATTGACATGCTGATTAATAACAACATAAATGAAACGTTCTCAGACTTTATTTAATGGGACTTCTGCTGCTGCATCTTTGCACACATTTCTTTGAAGTTTACATCATAACTGGTCAGGTTCAGGTTCCTGTGCGCATTCTGGCTGCATGAGTGATTACGCATTTAAAAATGTTTGAATTAATATTTCATTGTAATGTAAAAAGTTACATTGTATTTTGGGAATGAGAAGAGACCTATTTGGTTCCACAGTGAGCCATAGGTTGCAGACCCCTGGTCTTAGGGAATATAGGAAGCTGTGCGTGCGCTGAATAATGTCCTCTATTTTCCTTTCCAAGCCACTCCAGTCTCCCTTTCTGTGCTGCCTTTGTCCTTTCCTGTAGATTGTCTCTCTGTCTTTAGACAATCCTAGAACACTAGAACTGGAAGGGACCTCAAGAGGGCATTGAGTCCAGTCCCCTGCCCTCACGGCAGGACCTACTACCATCTAGACTGTCCCTGATAAATGTCTATGTAGCCTGCTCTTAAATATCTCCAGAGATGGAGATTCCACAACCCCCCCTTGGCAATTTATTCCAGTGTTTCACCACCCTGACATTTTGGAAGTTTTTCCTAATGTTCAGCTTAAACCTCCCTTGCTGCAGTTTAAGCCCCTTGCTAATTGTCCTATCCTCAGAGGCCAAGGAGAACAATTTTTCTCCCTTCTCCTTGGAACACCCTTTTAGATACCTGAAAACTGCTGTCATGTCCCCTCTCACTCTTCACAGAATGGCCATCAGAGCACCTGTGCTTTTGCCAATAGGGGTTTCTTGCACAAAACACCCCCTGGAGCATCCACACCTGCCTTTTAGCACAAGAGCTGTAGCGCTAAAAGGAGTTATTTCTTGTGGGGAGAGGAATAATTCTACCGGAAAAAGCCCTCTGTTCTGCCGATTTACTTGCACAAAAATGTGCTTGAGGTGTGGACACTCCACCAGTTTTTGTGCAAAACCCTTGTAGTGTAGACATAGCCCTAGAGACTGTCTTTGGAGGATTCTGGTAACTGACAGAGTTGGATCTGAACCAGCACTCTGAATGTCTATCTGAATATAAAAATCCACTATCGCTGTGGTGTCTAGATACTGATGAATCTCAGGATCCTGGGTCCAAATGCCAACACAGGTACTGGTGGGTTGTTTTCAGAATATTGAGCTCCGTTCCTCAGCCAGAGTTCCTATTGGATACCCCGGTCATTTGAAACACCCCTGAAACAGGGACCAGCCTTCCTATGTGACTGGATCCTTTGGGCACAACCATAGTACAAATAACCATGCTGCTCACTGCAAAGTTTCAAACACCCCAGCTCAGGCCCCTCTCTGGTTACTGATAAGTGACCTACTTTGTCTAAATGTAGTGCCTTGCTACATTTCTACTTTGCCTAGAAATCTTTCCCTTTGCTCTGTTTGGGGGGAAGATATTACTCGTTTGGTATGTGAAATGGGCTTTAATAGCAAATGTTTGGAGCAGTTGAGTCATATCCCTGTGAACTGGGCCTCAGGCTAATACAATGAAATGGTGAGTCAGGGGATATTCTCTGTGTTTAAAAGAGCCTGTTCTCTGAGCTGTTTGTCATACTCCGTGTCTCTCTAAAACCCCCTTCCGGTTCTCTGGCAGATTTCTCCGTGGCACGTGCAAGAAGACTGATGGGACGTGTTCATTTTCACACAAAGTTTCTAAAGATAAGGTCTGTATGGTTTTCTAATGAGCACATTCCAGCTTTATTAGCGAGCTGACCTAAGGAAGCAACACTTCTGCTGGTTGTAGGGGAAGTCTATGCTAGAGAGTGTTTCAAATTGAGTTCATTTGCAGTTTGCTTGCCAAGCTGTTCAGGCTCATTACAGGGTCACAGCTTATAATGAGAGAAGAGTGTGCCTCTTAAACCAACTTGGTGAATCAGTATATTAGTGCATTAAGCAGTGAATTTGAGACGAGAGCACCTGGGGCTGTTTGCCGTTTTGGTAACGTGTCTGGTTAAGGGGTATTTAAGCTCTGGAGATCAGACTGCAAGCACACGAAGTCAGAGTGTTTACCATCTCTGAACCCTTTAACACCGTGCCTCATTCTAAATCACTCTCCAGCTGGGGTCAGACCGAGAGGCTGTTGGAACGTACTGTAGTTCTGAGACATAAATTAATTTAAAAAAAAAAAAAGCTAGACAATGAAACTGTCTGGCAGAATGATTTTTAATTTCATCATTTTCACTCTGCTTGGAAGTGTTCAGAGCTCTTTCGTTTTATTACATAGACTAAGGTTGAGAGATAATTAGATTTTCTTTTAGCGATTATTGGCTGATAATTTAGCAGGTTAATCTTCATTCGCTGGATAGTATTTCAGATTGGAAGTAACTTCCAAGGTCCCAATCCAGCAAGACATGTAAGCACATGCCCGAATAAAAGCCCTTGCACTTAATGTGTGTAACTTACATACTTGAATTCTTTGCTGAAGAGGGAGGGGCTTTGCCTCTGTGAAACACATACATGGTTACTGACACAGGATCTGCATGAACTTAGAATAGTCCTGCAGCACCTTCGAGATTAACAAACCACGCAGATGGCATCATGAGCTCTCGTGGGCACAACCCACAGTGAGTTAGACACGAACTAGAGGGCTAATGTTCAAGCCAGAAGGTTTTATTCCTCTAGAAAGCAATGGTCCCACAGCCACAGGTATTGCAGTATCAGAAGCAGTCTGGTCTTTGTGTTCCTCTGTAGTGGTGAAGGTACATGAAGCCTGAGTGTGAAAGGGAAAAGATCCCCCCCCCCCCCAAAAGGCCATATAAACACTCTGCCTCCACCCTCCATTATGCCACTCAATAATTGTTCTAGCCCCACTGCGTATAATTCTGGCATGCAGTTTGCCTAGAGCAGCTTTAGTGGAACTGTAACTGCTGGGAGCCCGAGGCGCTGCAGGAATCAAAGCCTCAGAGAGCTGTCAGACTCGCTTCTGTTGCTTGTCCCATGGACCATCCAAAGATGCGGTCAGAAATCACCCCAGAGATGCCACCTTCCGCTCTCTCCTTCCCCTGTTGGTTAAACGTGTCTGTTCCAGACGTAATGCATCACACCATTTGTGTCATCAAAATGGATTACGTAGAGCTTTAACTAATCCAGTGATACCGCCAAAGGATCTAACCACTAGTCCCCTGCTCTAACCTGTGTTTGCAACAGAGCCATTTTCAACAAGCCTCGTTTTTGGACACAGGTTGGCACGCAGTTGACTTGCTTCTCTTTCTGGCTGCTGTTGCTTGATGATCACTTGTAAGTTATCCTGAAGGCCACCTGAACTGCATTCTGCACTGTTCACCAGTGTGCCACGTGGAGCATTTTGTGCACTCAGCATTTGTAGAGCTGTCTTGTAACCGTCAGTATGTAAACCAGCGTATGGTCGCTTGGGAACATCTGGCCTCCTTGTCTGAGCACAAGAACAAGGGACGATTTGAGGAGCTTGCAAGGCAGGAGATTCGGAATGGATAGGGAGGAAGACTAGTGTGAGGCCAGACGGCAGAACTCCGAGCTGAGGCCAGGAACTTGGCACGATTTATCTGGAGATCAGTAATGCCACTGTCAACGTTAAAACGAGCACGCATTTTGGAAAGACACCCCACTACGTGCTTCAGAGCCTGGCCCGGTCACCGGCTGCTAGCGATCAGGAAGAGACCGAATGTGGGGGCAGTTTTTCCCACATTTGCCAATTTGGGGCTCTTACCACTTTCTTTGAACTGTCAGAGACCGGACAGTGGGACGAGAGGGACCCGGGGCCTGGGCCTGTCCGGCAGTGCCTGTGGTCCTAGTGCAAAGTGTAAGGAGTCAGTGTCCAGCCTGGAATCAGGCTTGTGTGTGTGTATCCTGCAGGGCTTAGGGGCACGATGTGAAGGCATTTCTCATATCGGATCACAGCTAAGCTCTCTGCTGCAGTGTAAGCCTATGGGCGGAGTGTTTCCTTAGCCCTTCCCCCATCTCCACTCCAGGCCCGCCCTGACGGAGCGCTTGTCTGTGGGCTCTGAGGGATGCTGGGACAGCGAGGGTTAAAACAAGCAGCCTTGCTCTTGTTTCTTAAAGTGATGGTAATGGGTGGTTCGGTGGAGTCCCGAGGACGGCTCTGCTTCCTCAGGGCTGGGGAGGCCAGTCAGTTTTGAATGATTGAATTTCAGACATTTTTGAAGGGCCCTGGGCTGCCCCGGAGGGTACAGGGCCTCAGGCAGAAGGGGCAGGACCATGACACTTCCGTGCTTCCCCAGCCACAGAGCCTGATTGGTCTGGGAGTGGCAGGGCCGGGGGGGAGGTTGCACAAAGTCTTTGCTCACTGCAGAGAGAACCGCCAGCTGTTCTGAAGAACTGGCAGTTCCCTCTAGGTACCTGTGCCCCTGGCGGTGGGAGGAGACTTTACATGCTCCCCCCATTGCCCCCAGGTCAGACAGGGCCTGGGGAGGGGGAGCACATGAAGTCTCTCGCTCGCTGACTCGGCCCGGCAAGAGAGCGCCGTGCTTTTAAGTGCTGAGTCCATCGCAGGGCGGGAGGAGACTTTGCGCGCGCACACACACACACACACACACCCACACACACACACACACATACACACCCCAACCAATCAGGGCATGGGGGTGGGGGCAGTACGCAAAGTCCATGCTGCGCTTGGAAGCACTGTGCACTCCTTGCAAGGTGGGGACAGGGTGGGAAGAAACTTCGTGCACTTTCCCCCATCCCCAGGCCCTGATTGGCCTGGTGGCAGGGCATCCGCGGGTCACCTGGATCTAGCCTGCAGAAGCCCTTTTGCCCACCCCTGCCTTGGGGTGAAATGGCTGGCAGTGATCAGCTACTCCTCAGCTCCCCTTCACTCCCCTCACCATGGGCGCTAGGTGGAGGGAGGGCTGGCAAGCGCTTAGCTACCGGCTCTTTTCCATAGATTCCTAAATAGTGTTCAGGTGTGAGAGCCAAAGGATTTCGTGGATGAGGAAAGGTGGCAAGATCATGCCCACAAAATAGTGCCCTGATAGAAGAACAGGAGTTTAGGGTCCCGTTGGCCTCGGTCCACCTTCAGGTTCCCCTCCCCCCGTATTAGCAAAGGCTTCTCTGCACCCCTGCGCAGTGACTAGTATAGCAGTGAGCCTTGGGCAGTGGAGAGCAGCCAGCATGGGGGTTCCTGTATATCTGAGAAAATCCCCTCACAAGTGCATTTCCAGTAATGGCCATTGTGCTACCAGAGGACAAAAGCGAATGTCCCCAGCATTAGTCTCCCGTACTGGCTCAGAGGTCCCGGTTGCCATCTTAGTCAGCGTGGGCGGGAAGAGAAACGGCCGCCTCTGCGGAGTCCAGAGCCCGCTCCCTGTGATTTATGGCTGTGGGGAGCAGGTACCCGAAGCAGGAGGCGACTCCGGCATTCACTTCTGGAGCTTCCTGTTAACCTGTGTGATTACTAGCAAAGGTGATGTTAGCCTCATTTATCAAGCACAAGCCCACAGAGAGAGACAGGTGAATTCATTCCGCAAAGTGGTTTTTTACTGCTTGGGAGCTTTACTGGAGCCAGGCAGGGCAAATTCCACTGGCTCTTGAACTGAGCAAGTTTGAGTGATTTCACTTGGAGTCGTTCGAGCTGAGGTGAGTTTGTTGGCCATGTGACTTTCTCTGGGCGTTGTGAACGTCAAAGCAGAGTGTGGGTGAAGAGGGTGGATCGCTGGGCAGATTCCTGTATAAATCAGTATAAATCCCCCGGAATAGTAGGGGAATACGATTCTTTCCCTGCCCCAGTCAGTTTAACCCTGAATGTTTGTGCTCTGAACATAGGGAGCGCTTGCTGCTACTCTCTAAGCAGAATGGCTCGCTAAGCTTTGTCATAGTGAGGGGTGTTGGCGTACAGTTGTGTAAACGACTGACCAGGAAGCCTGGCAGCAGTGCTCCCAGGAGTGGGGCCAGGAGTGCACTGGCTGCCAGCCCTCCCCGGGGATCATTGAATACTTGTGTAACTGCTAAGCTGGTTTTGGTGCAGTTACACAATTATTAAACTAAATGATATCGAATATCCCTAATCAAATCCTGCTTTTCCAGCTGTCAGTCCTGCCCTCTCCTGTGGGAACGGGGGCCCTCCAGTGCCCTTCCAGACATTCCCAGCATTTCAGACAGGCTGATGTATACGCACTTCAGAGTGTGCTGCTTAAATCATCTGTTTGCGGTGCCACTACATCCATCTAGCAGCTTCGCGTGTGAAAACTTCGTAGTTCGTGGCTGTCACTGTAAGGCGTTCCTGGCTGTTATCCAGAAATCGCGAAGCCAGGCGCTCGTGTTCCCAAATGCACCTTTCCACCGGCCACATAGCAGGAGTGTCTTGTGTTGCTTCCCCTTAGTGCGCGAGGGGAGGTGCACACGGGGGAAGGCAGTGAATATGGTTTCTGGCAACTCAGGCTTGCCAGTGCTCCAGAAACTCGGTAATGAATAGGAATACCAGGAGTGTGTGTCTGTAGAGGGAGCATGCCCGGGCAGTGTCTGGGTGTTTTTCTAACATGCCCCATGCTGGGATGGGTGAGCACATGGATTTTCTGTCCCCTTTGAGCTCTCTGTGTGTAAAGCTCGTGTTGCCCTGGAGCTGTGCAGGGAACCAGGCACATGGACCCAGCCTGCTTACCCCTTGGAAATCCACCCGTTTGGCAAGGTGAGCGGAGCGTTCCCGGACCTGCTAACGTCCCCGGGGGCACCCTACTGCAGCATGGCTGGTGGGCGCTGTGGCGCGTGGCCAGGAAGTGCCTGTTAGTCCTTTGCTGCAGCTGACAGGAAAAGCCCGCATGTTACTGCCGCTGTGGAGCCCCCAAGGGCCGGGGTCTCCGACTCGCAGCACAGGGGCCACTTGAGGCCCAAGCAGTTCCACAGTCTGGCCCGCTGCCGGCATGTGAGCCCCTGCGGCCCTAGGGGGGTGTCCCTACCCTTCCTCTAAGTCCAGCCCCCCTTTCCACTCCTGCTCTGCCCGCTCCCCCACGTAAAAACATCCAGACTGGGTCAGACCAAAGGTCCATCTAGTATCCTGTCTTCCAACCGTGGCCGATGCCTGATGCACCAAAGGGAGTGAACAGAACAGGGAATCATTACGTGGTCCCTCTCCGGTCACCCATTTCCAGAGAAAGAGAGGCTAGGGACACCATTCCTACCCATCCTGGCTAATAGCCATTGACGGACCTAACCTCCATGAATCTGTCTAGCTCTTTTTTGAACCCTATTAGTCCTGATCTTCACAACATCCCCTGGCAAGGAGTTCCACAAGTTGACTGTGCTGAGTGAAGAAAAACTTCCTTTTGTTTGTTTTAAACCTGCTGCACCTGGTCCACAAGGGGAGCCAGTTTAAAAACCAGCTCCCCTTGTGCAGCTGCCTGCCGCTCCACAGAGGCGGCTGGGAGGGAGCCGGGGGCTGCCATGAAACATCCTGATCCAGAGGCAGCAAAGGGGGAGGGGGAAATGCGACTAGTCAAGATGATTAACCAAGATTAACCGATAAGCCTAGGCATCCCGGTTAATCGTATCCCGATTGCTCCTTTACATCCCTACTGCTCTGTGCCTCTGTTGCCCCTCTGTAATCGGGCGCTGACTCTGTGCCACACAATGACTGGGACCTGCTCTGGTGGTACAGCCAGGGAGATGCCTAGATCCTTAATTAGAGCCCGTCTTCTCGCTCCTTGTGTGGTGCATGAGGGAGCTCTGCAGAGCAAGTAACCTGGACCATTGGTACTCCCCTTCTGCTCAAAACGTGCCCACCCCTTTGTGTCTCATTCCTAGGGGCTTCCAGCGCTCGGAGTCACTCCGCTGCCACCTCCCCTGAGCGTGTGGGCAGCTCCTCTGTGCCTGCCCAGGGCACATACCTGGCCCTCTCGGCCTCACCAGCTCAGCTCGCGCTCACTCTCCCACTTAGCAATTGATGTTCACCAACTCTTGAGACCCCTGTGCATTTCCTGGGGGCATCCGGCTGCGGTCTGCCAGACACTCAGTGTTCAGAGATTCACCGCTCCCTTATCTGGCCGCCCTGAGACCTGTTTCTAGTGACGAGGCATACGCTTGTGTAGCAAAGCCAAGTGAGTGTTTTGGAAACACACGGTGACCTATGAAATACAATCAGAGCACACACTCTGTAATGTAGACTTGGTGAAGTAGGTGCTCCCATGTCCTGTAAAGCTCACCCAAAGTCCTTGCAGCCTTTCCCAGCCAGGCGTGGCGCAGATCCCTCCTTCAGGAGATGGACCGCCTGCCTCTCAGGTAAAGGACCCAGGCTCTTCCTCTGTGTCCCAAAGTCCCATGCACAGGGCACCTCTCTCCCCCACTCCTTTGTTCCTGTCGATATTTTTTCACTACTTTTCGACTGGTATGCAAATAGGCCTCCCCGGGGAGGCAGGTGGCCCCCCTGGGATTGGGCAAGGAAATCGCTGGCTGGCATCTCTGCTTGAAAGGAACGTGTCGAGGTATGTCCCCCACTGGTGACAGGCTTTGCCTCCGTGATCTGAGGAACATAACTTGCCTGATCCGTAACGTCTCATGTCGTGTCAGGCATGCGTTTTGCCGTGAGTGCACTGGGGTCACGTGCCACCGTTTGTGACCTACTGTGTGTGTGTCTGACCCAGATGATCCCTGTAAAACACTCCCCGACTTGGCAGCAAGGGGTCCCTGGGTCACAGCAGTGGGAGCAGACTCTTCTCCCTAGCCCCGAGCTGCACACCCTCAAACCTAGATCGAGGCAGGCCCTGCCTGGGACCGTCCCAAGCAGCGAGGAAGATGATTTTGGTAGGTGAGTGGCCTAGTCAGGAGGGATGAAATGTGGGGCTGAAAGCGACCATCGGGGTCCATCTCCCGCACAGAGGCATCTAGGCAGGATTAGGCAGGCTCAGAGGGAGGTGAGTTTCACTTGGCACTGGTGCCCTGCGTACAGTCTCACAGGAAGCTGTCGTTAGGGTTTCGCTAGGGAGGGGTCTGCAGGAGGGCAGGTAGAGGGTGGGTTGAAGTAGGTAGAGGGTGGGTTGAGGAGCAAGCGCCCAGAGCAGTCGGTGTGGCCGAGAGGGGCTGTGAAATTGCTGTGGTGAGGCGGGCCCTGCCTCTCCCTGGTGATGGAGGGAACGGGAAGAGAGAAGGAAGGGGCTTGTGAATGAAGGTTAGCGAGAGGCTGGGACTCGGGCAGAGGCATGCTGCTGGTACAACAGCTTTTCCCCTTGAGGAACTCGAAAAGAATCAGCATTTTTCTCCCTAATAGAGCTTCAAAACTCTGTTGTGAGCAATTTGGAAATTCACGTTGAGTTTCGGGTTCATTAGCTGCCGGCTCCAAAGCGTGTACATATTCAAAGCTGTCTAATATGGACGCCCCGCACCAGTGCCTTGAATTAATGTTATTGTTATTTGCGTGGACGTAGTGGGGTGCAAACAAGGTTAATTGAAATGAGAATGTGGCTTCCTCTTGATAATGGTTCCGGCTTGACAGCTAGGAGGAGTTTGTTTTTGTACAAGAGCCGGCTTTATTATCCCTTTTTATTAGAGCTAATTTGGGTTCTATATCAAAAACTACATTAAAGGAATCATTTACGGTCACACCACCGCCAACAAAAAAGATAGCCCTAGAGCCTGGTCCTTTATGGTAATGTCTGCAGTTAAAAGACAATTAAAAATAAACTCTTCTCTTTTGTTTTCTCTCCTTTATGCCTCCCCCTCACCCCACCCCCGCTCCCCTCAGTGTGTCTCACTCAAGTGAGCCAAGTTAGTGAAAACCCTAATCTGTCCTTCAGGGACCTGGACTTTCCCATAGAACATCAGCTGCCGCTAGTGCAGAATGGTAAATATTGGTTTGGGGCTATTTGAACCTGCAGGACTAAGTGGAGACTGGTGAGCTGAGGGGTTGACGTTCTGTCGTGCAGGAACTAAATTTTGCATTTAGGTGAATGGGGGTGGAGGGCTGATCAGGAATAAAGAGCAAAGCTCAGGAAGGGAGGGAGAGAATAAATCCAGCATAGCAGCAGCTTTGGAAACTGCTCATTGCCCTCTGTGACTAGATCAGCACAGATCCACAAGCCTAAGGAGAATTAGTCTCATATGGGCGGAAGCACAGCTCTGTAACTGGCCAGTCAGTTTTGAAAGCTGCAGGCAGTCACCGGTGAGTGAGAAACCCGAAATAGCATGGCAGACTGGTAATGTGTTTTGAATGATCACAGCTGGAGGTGTAGTTTGTGGTTTGAGGCATGACCGTAAGGATCCTTGATCTCACTGTTTCACTTGGCCTGGAGGATTGTAAAACGGCTGTAAATAATGACTTCCAAAGTGTGCATCCTGTCAGAGCTGCCTGCAGAGCTCCGGCAGCGGGATCCAGCCAGTTGTCTGATGTGCTTGTATAGCATTGCAGAATGAGAGGGGGAAGGAATCAGACCAGTCCTTTTCCTTTCCCTTTGTGCCAGTCTGTCTGCTCCATGGTCCCCCTGTAAAGTGAAGAAATATGCACTCTAGTGCTGTATCCTCTTCCTTGTTTAGCCAAGACAGAGACTTCCAGTGGCCGCAGGGGCCCAGGTCACACACCTCGGGAAAACTGCTCTAAAATCTGG